AAGTCCAATGGATGCAAGACTTGTGAAGCTGCTATCAGATAAGGACTCCTATGTTACATTGTAACGTGACCGCTTCAAATGTTTACAAAGTTAAAATGTTGTTAAAAGTTTGATTGAAATAGCTTTTGATTTCAGTAAATATGCTGCAAACACAACAAATGACAATTTTCAGTTCTTTACAACCTATAAAGTGTTTTGAAACTTCCTGTGCAGAATAATTTGGAACAAAAATCCTGTTATCATTAGGAGGTTTGTTCAATAAAATGTGAATTGTACTCTTATAGTTGATAACATGAGAATTATGCTGACTGTTATTTACATTAATTATTTAGGTAAATGAGAAAAATATCATTTGCATAATAATTTGGAACACGGTATATATATATATATATATATATATATATATATATATATATATATATATATATACATAAAGCATACAGTCATGGCCGAAATTGTTGGCACCCTTGATATTTCTCCAGGAAATCATGTATTTCTCACGAAACGTATTGCATTAACACATGTTTTGCTATACACATGTTTTATTCCCTTTGTGTGTATTGGGACAAAACAAAAAAAGGGAGGAAAGAAAGCAAATTCGACATAATGTCACACAAACCTCCAAAAATGGGCTGGACAAAAGTATTGGCACCCTTTCACAACTGCGGATAAATAAGAATGTTACAAGCATGTGATGCTCCTGTAAACTCACCTGGGGCAAGTAACAGGTGTGGGCAATATAGAAATCACACCTGAAAGCAGATAAAAAGGAGAGACGTTCACTTAACCTTTGCATTGTGTGTCTGTCTGTGCCACACTAAGCATGGACAACAGAAAGAGGAGACGAGAACTGTCTGAGGACCTGAGAACCAAAATTGTGGCAAAATATCAACAATCTCAAGGTTACAAGTCCATCTCCAGAGAACTAGATTTGCCTTTGTCCACAGTGCGCAACATTATCAAGAAGTTTGCAACCCATGGCACTGTAGCTAATCTCCCTGGTCATGGACGGATGAGGAAAATTGATGAAAGATTGCAACGCAGAATAGTCCGGATGGTGGATAAGCAGCCCCAAACATGTTCCAAAGACATTCAAGCTGTCCTGCAGGCTCAGGGAGCATCAGTGTCAGCGCGAACTATCCGTCGACATTTAAATGAAATGAAACGCTATGGCAGGAGACCCAGGAGGACCCCACTGCTGACACAGAGACATAAAAAAGCAAGACTACAGTTTGCCAAAATGTACTTGAGTAAGCCAAAAGCCTTCTGGGAAAACGTCTTGTGGACAGATGAGACCAAGATAGAGCTTTTCGGTAAAGCACATCATTCTACTGTTTACCGAAAACGGAATGAGGCCTACAAAGAACAAAACACAGTACCTACGGTAAAATATGGTGGAGGTTCAATGATGTTTTGGGGTTGTTTTGCTGCCTCTGGCACTGGGTGCCTTGACTGTGTGCAAGGCATCATGAAATCTGAGGATTACCAAAGGATTTTGGGTCGCACTGTAGGGCCCAGTGTCAGAAAGCTGGGTTTGCGTCCAAGATCCTGGGTCTTCCAGCAGGACAATGACCCCAAACATACGTCAAAAAGCACTCAGAAATGGATGGCAAAGAAGCGCTGGAGAGTTCTGAAGTGGCCAGCAATGAGCCCAGATCTAAATCCCATTGAACACCTGTGGAGAGATCTTAAAATTGCTGTTGGGAAAAGGTGTCCTTCCAATAAGAGAGACCTGGAGCTGTTTGCAAAGGAAGAGTGGTCCAAAATTCCGGGTGAGAGGTGTCAGAAGCTTATTGATGGTTATAGGAAGCGACTGATTTCAGTTATGTTTTCCAAAGGGTGTGCAACCAAATATTAAGTTAAGGGTGCCAATACTTTTGTCCAGCCCATTTTTGGGGTTTTGTGTGACATTATGTCATATTTGCTTTTCTGCCTCTGTTTTATATTTGTTCCAATACATACAAAGGGAATAAACATGTGTATAGCAAAACATGTGTTAATGCAATACCTTTTTTGTGTGAAATACTTGATTTTCAGGAAAAATATCAAGGGTGCCAACAATTTCGGCCATGACTGTATATGCACCATCATTTGTAGACACTATAATTTTCGCATTAAAACGAATTAATATACACTCAATTTTTTTTCTAAAGATATGTAGCAGAATACATTTTGGCTGAAATTTATGAAGACATTGGAGTTTTAAATTTTTTTTTATTGGATATGTTTTATAACAGAAAATGTAAAGTATTGGAGGGTTTTCTCAAAATTTTTGTTTATTCATTTTTCGTTGATGTAATAAAAGAAAAAACCCAAGTAGTGATCAAATACCACCAAAAGAAAGCTCTATGTGTGTGAAAAAAATGGCCCTGAAGGGGTAAAATCTTCAAAAGCTTACATGGTTAAAGAAGAAAGTTGGTATGATAAGCAGGTCGCAGGCCCCAGTGGGTAAGAGGCAAACAAATACCTCTAACGCTAACAATACTAATGATACATCAATGAATGCTGCTGATATATACTGTGTGTATTAGTGTTGATGATAAATGTGGGTTGGCTCACATAACAAGAGCAGAAGGTTGTCCAAGACAGCTCTGATTTGCACTATTGAAATAGAGTGGACCGGCACCATACAGTGAGAGTGTGTGGGTGCTGTCTATCAACATCAGATGTGACTTTGAAAAGGGGTTAGATGGCTCTGTAAAAGGTGAAAGTACAAAGGTGGATGTGTCTGAAGTGCCACTAGAGCCAGCTTGTAAAAGTGGGGGATGACAACCTGCCATGGTTGAAAATATGTTGTCACAGCAAATTGCAAATACAATGTATACATTGTTGAGTCCCAGGTTCTGTTGGTGTCTCCTTGGGCAGGTGATGTGTCCAAGAATCCACAATGGGAACATAGTGCACTTAGATATTTGGGCTAAATGATTACTTGCAATACTGGACAGGGTTTCTATGTGTAACAGTGGGGTGGATATTACAAATCCTGTGCCAAATAGAGGGGCTGCAGAACAGCCAGTAGTCAAGAGCGCATTTTCCCTTGCAGAGAAAGGACTGGATAAGGGCATGAGCATGGCAGATTTTTTATCACAGCTCAACAAACATATAGTGTAGAGTGTTAGAGTGACAGTATAACTGACCACGACTTGCAGTGGCTCACTGATGTAGAACTAGAGGGGGAGATAATGAGACTCACGTCTGGAACCACATTGGGGAAGCACAAAGCTGTGATGTTGGCTACCATCAGCAAAGAGGAGGTCTCTTTAAATATCTTGTCCTCTTGAGCTTCAGTGAATGGGCCTCCCTACATAGCTAAAAAGGGAAAAGCCCCTATAAAGATCTTGAGTGTATATATGGGATGTCCAGAGGTGACTAATGTGTTACTGGAAATGCTTGAATTCATAAAAGCACATTCACTGTATACCAGGGTGTCTCCACATTGGCCAGACAAGCTGGTACTGCAGAGAACCAATAAGTGAACCAAAGTATTACAAATGTTGCTGGTTAATGTGGATCAAAATTAGAACAGTTGGCACAGTGGTTGTTAACAATATGGAAAGTGGTCTCACAGTTTCCTTCTATAGTGCTTCTGGATACTGTTTGGTATGGAAGGTGCTCAGAAGGATTGTTAGAAAATTGGAAATGACAGATGTTTCAGTCTTTCTGCCTGATGGTGTGATAAGGGTCATGTCTGCTGGTGTGCTCTGAGGTGTGGCTGAACAGTGGTTTGTAGTAGGAGTGTATGCTACCTCACGTACCAGACCAGAGGCACTGTGAAAAAGAGTAGCAGCATGATTAATAACTGTGACAGTGAAAAGTACAGTCATTTACTGTAAATGGTGGCTGCCTTTCCGAGGGTAACTGCAAAAGGATTGCTGAACCTCAAAGACAGACTAGGATGGTTAAAATTGGTACAAGTGAAGGGAAAGCTGATTCCTCCAAAGGCACAGTATCAGGAGTAGGTTCCCTGTAACCCCATGACAGTGAGTTTGAGAGGGGTGTCGGGGAAGCCAAAATACCCTCAGAGAGTACAAATGAGCCCAGGTACCCCAAGATAAGAGGATGAAGGCTTTGTAGGAAGATAAATGGGACCCCATTCAGATTCAGGTTTGGGCATGTCTGGAAGCATATGCAGAACAAAAGGTGGTTCCAACATGTCTAAGGGGTCTGGTGGTCTGCCCTCCAGATCAAAACAGGAAGGGGGTATGCGATAGTGCTAGGTCCTGTCATGGTGTGAATATGGGCAGAAGACATGCATGATTCTCAATGATACAGCTTATAGGTCACCAGACTTTTACAGAAAATAGTCTTGGGTAGGATGAAGCCTTCAATCCTATGTCCAGGTCTTATTGGAGACCTGCAGGCTGTGGAAGTATGCAGGTACTCCAATCAAGAGACAGAGGTGTGCTCCATTCAGGAGATGGGTGTACTTCCATTAGGAGAGGTTCTTTACTCAAAATAGAGAACCCTGTGTTGGAAAGAATCCTCTTATCCACAGTATTACAAGAGATGGGACAGTTAAGCAAGTCTGGAGGACTGGGAGAGCTAAGGTAACTAAGTGAATCCAGGCAACTGAGGGAATCTGTAAGTCTAGGAGCATTGAGAGAGCCCAGGGTGCCAGGAGGTCCCCTATTGAGAGGCCAAGAAGTGGTCATCTGCAATGAGGTGCTGTAACTACAGGCTGAGCAAGCCAAGATACCCCAGCATGCCAGGACAGCGGGGAAAGACAGGCTGAGGGACTAGTGTCAAAAGAAGAGGTATTGCTGAAGAGGGAGTCAGGTGGCTCTACATTTTCTTTCATTCATTTTGATGACCTCAAATTGAATAAGCACGCTGACCACCATACTAATGTACCATGAATTGCAGATATAGTAATTACAGTATTAGCAGGGGTTCTATGAGACCAGAAAGTTAAAAAGGTTGAGAAATATGTGAAATTATGGCTTTGTAGACCTGAATCAATATCCCATTTTGAGATCAAAGTAAATGTCTCCATTCCTCTATTAACTACTACCAAAATGCTCATACAGAAATTTGTTTAAAAAAATGTTCAATACTTTTTTCAGGTCTTTATTCCTTAAAGTATATATAACTGGATTAATCAGTGGAGTAACTATGGTATAAGACAATGGAAGGAATTTAGTAATGTTTCCTGACTGTTCCCTACTAGGTACCAAATAGGCACAAGCTAGGTTGCCATAATAGACACAGACAACAGTCAGGTGGGAACTACATGTAGAGAAAACCTGCTTCCTTCCAGTAATAGATGGGATTTTAAGAATGGTGACTATGATAATAATATATGATAAAACAACAATAAAAAATGGGATGACATCAAATAAAACCGTCAACAACATTATCTCTATTTGAATAATTGCCATATCGGAGCAGGAGAGTTTAAGAATTGGATCCAGATCACAAAAAAAGTGATCAATAATGTTGGGACCACAAAACTGCAAGTGAGCTATTATTAAAGTATGCATCAGCAGCACAGTTAGAAAACTTAAAGACCAACAGATACTAATCAGCATATAGCAGCAGTGGTGATTCATTATCATACTATAATGTAATGGTTTACAGATGGCCAAATATCTGTCATAGGACATCACAGTTAGAAGAATGCTATCAAATATTAATGTAGCACAAAAGAAATAAAACTGAGAGAGGCAATCAGAAAAGGACATTATGGTATCTTTCATCAAAACTGTTCGGAACGTGTTAGGAAGAATATCGGTTGCCAATATGACATCTGAAATAGCGAGCTGGGAGAGGAAGAAGTACATGGGGGACTGGAGGGTTTTGCTGTAGGACACCAATGTGATGATCAGGAGGTTTCCACATATTGTCACACAGTAAAGCAGAAGCAAAATAAAAAACACCAAAAATGTTACATTTTGTGGGATCTGAAATCCTAGGAGGTGGATTGTTGAAATTCTGGTCATATTCTTCTTCTCCATGATCTGAGGAGAGAATATTAAAATTAACTGGTAACATTTATGAAGTAACTTCAGCCAGTTATAGAAAACATTGAGGACTGTCTGAAGGGAAAAGAGAGAGAGAAAAAAGGAGAGAGATGAAGAGAGAGAAAAAGGTAGAGGAGAGTGAAGGAGAAGAGGAAAAGGGGATTTACCAATCAAGTAGACCTTTGTTCTTTCACTGCTATAAGGAAGTTTGCCCAGTTGCCGCCCGGCCTATAGCCAGATGGCGGCTGGGTGAACAGCTCGTCCCTCCGAGTGGAGGCCACATGGCGTCCTTTCCGGAAAGGCGCATTGCGAATGCCCACAGGGCCGTGCTGTGGCGAGATCTGTCATCGGCCGTGTACCTCGGACACGGCCGATGACAGATCTCTGTACCGGTCCCGTTGCCAGTACCATGTGACTGGCTGTGACCAATCACAGCAGGTCACATGGCAGTTGTATACAATGGATGGCTTCCTTTCATGCCATCCATTGTATACAAGTGTGTCTAGCTGTGAATGGTCACAGCGATCACATGCACAAGCTGGGCCAATCACAGCCCAGCTGTGTCATGTGATTAGCCGCGGCCAAATCACCGCTAATCACAAACCACTGAATTAATTTATTTCATTCAGGTAAATGCTTGCTTATAGCAAAGTAATTCTTTGCTATAAGCAAATTGTGCAAAAAAAAAATACTGATCACTTCCCCAAAGTAGTACAATGTTACTATGGTAATATTGATTATAGTGCATTATGAAAAAAAATCTTAAAAAAAGAGAAAATAATTTAATAAAAAATAATAAAAAAAATTGAAAAAAATTATCCATTTTTTTTTTCGTACTGTCACCAGTCAGTGTCCCTGATCACCACCATGCCAGTTATATGATGATGCTGTACTGCACTGGTGACAGCATGTAAAACAAAATTGTGTAAATCATTTTTTTAATTTCTTCAGTTTCCGAAAAAGTATGACAAAAAATTAGATCTTCAAAAAACTCTCCATACCTCTTATGAAATACGTCGGACTGTCTACTTTGCAAAAAGGGGTCATTTGGGGGATATCTGTACTGTCCTGACATTTGGGGGATATCTGTACTGTTCTGACATTTGGGGGATATCTGTACTGTTCTGAAATTTGGGGGATATCTGTACTGTCCTGACATTTGGGGGATATCTGTACTGTCCTGACATTTGGGGGATATCTGTACTGTCCTGACATTTGGGGGATATCTATACTGTTCTGACATTTGGGGGATATCTGTACTGTCCTGACATTTGGGGGATATCTGTACTATTCTGACATTTGGGGGATATCTATACTGTTCTGACACTTGGGGGATATCTGTACTGTCCTGACATTTGGGGGATATCTATACTGTTCTGACATTTGGGGGATATCTGTACTGTCCTGACATTTGGGGGATATCTGTACTATTCTGACATTTGGGGGATATCTATACTGTTCTGACACTTGGGGGATATCTGTGCTGTCCTGACATTTGGGGGATATCTGTACTGTCCTGACATTTGGGGGATATCTGTACTGTCCTGACATTTGGGGGATATCTGTACTGTCCTGACATTTGGGGGATATCTGTACTATTCTGACATTTGGGGGATATCTGTACTGTCCTGACATTTGGGGGATATCTGTGCTGTTCTGACATTTGGGGGATATCTGTACTGTTCTGACATTCTTGGACCTCAAGAAATTAGATTGGCCGTCAGTACTTCAGGATTGATCAATTTTCAGATACTCTATAGACAATCCTACAAACTAAATAATAAATACTAATTTGGGTTATTTTCACCAAAGACATGTAGTAGAATACATCTCGGCCTAAATTTATGAAGAACAATTATTTATTTGCAAACTTTTATAACAAAAACAAAGAAAAACATGTTTTTTTTTCAAAATGTTTGGTCTTTTATTGTTAATTTAGCAAAAAATAAAAACCCCAGCGGTGATTAAATACCACCAAAAGAAAGCTCTAGTTGTGTGAACAAAATGATAACATTTTAATTTGGGTACAGTGTTGTATGACCGCGCAATTGTCATTCAAAGTGTGAGACCGCTGAAACCTGAAAATTGTCCTGGGCAGGAAGGGGGTAAAAGTGCCCGGTATAGAAGTGGTTAAAAAAGGAATTATAAGTTATTATTATAAATTTCAAGAGAGTTATAAAGTACAAAAAAAATGATGAAAACAAACAGGATTGCATTTCTTTTTTGCAGTCATTGAGAAGTAGACACTTACATTTTGTTGTAGGTTACTGCGCTTTTTCTCATTTAGCTAATATCTGATAGATACCTCCCCTACCGCAACTGTCAAAGTACCTGATATCAAATTGGACGCAGTCACTATTTGGCTGACAATTTTCCTCCCGGCTCCTTTAACAAAAGCTGATTGAAAAAATTGACTTTTCTTGAGCTGGTTGGTGCAAACAGGGTCACCCACAGCTAGAATGTTGTCCATTTCAACGAAAAAAAAAAAAAAATCAAGACATATATGGCAATTTTGAGTGTAAATGAAATCAATTCATTCAAATGTGAAATGAAGTAGATTCTGAGATTGACCTGCTTTATCTTCAACACTAATAGTTTTCAATGGGATCTGCTTATAGAGAGATACAAAGCATAGCAGGCCAAAGGCATCCTCAGGCTAGTCACCCACACTCCACAACTAAAGCCAATGGAAATTTGCTGAATTTCAATGAAAGTGTGATGTAAAGGCAGATCCGACACAAAAAGAAGACTTAATGGTGTTATTTTAACTGTAAATAAAAACAGGCATAAAGAGATGTTGACAAATAATTAATCTTTACAAATGTGTCACATATATATACTGTACATATATTAGTGGTCAAAGATATTACCACAGCTGTGAATTGTGCTCGTTTAAATGTTTTTCTGATGCAGATTTTATAAAGAAGCAAAATAAATTACCTGGCGCCTCGGGGAATCTGCGCTCCGTGATATTCTCATGGGTTACAATATTGATGTGGCTAGAGATATCAGAGTATCAGTCAGTAATTTAGACTTGTAAAATAAATATTCATATTAACAATAATAATAATAATAGTAATAAAAGGTTATTTCTTCCATTTCCTAGGTCTGTATAGTAAGGTTCTTTGTTCATTTCTATTATTATTATTATTACAAGCTATTGTTACAGCAATCCATAGTTAAATAATGCCAAAATGCCAAACAACAATAGAGAAAAATTCCTAGCTCAAATTACCAACCAGCCTGCAACCAATCAAATTGTCCTGACAGTTTGCATTAGAAACACGGGTTTAGTTTGCACACATTTGCAAATACACGTGTAAGCTGCAGAGCCTCTTCATGGCACCCCAGCATTTTCTGCAGTCCTAAATGTAAAATTTTGAGAGCCTACATAGTATTTGCAAATGTGTGCAAACTAAACCCCTGTTTTCAATGCAAACTGTTGACCCGGACAATTCGGTTGATTGCAGGCTGATCGGTAAGTTGTGCTGGGAATTTTTCTTTTTTGGTATTTGACACGCGTCACCATTCCATGTGCTCCTTGCTGCAAGGGCCAGTTATTGATTGGTATGTGTTTGTAAGATTGCCAAAATGTCTTTCAAGCGGCTGTGAGAGTATACAGTATAGAGTTGGTGGTGCCTGCCACAAATGTATCCCTATTAATCCCTATCCCTGTACAAATTTATATTTTGGCATAGAAAAGAAGCAACAAGAACCACATTACTATCTGCACTGTGAAGTTAGGTTAACTTCTTCCCATCCAGCCATAGTACATAACCAATCAGACTGGAGCAGCATCAATGCTGATGGACATACAGAACCTGTACATCCCACAGCATCTGCAGCTTGTGCATGCTCCCTGGGATCAGCGGTGCAATCTGTGCCCTCTGTGTCCACTGAACACAGCGGAACACTGAACATTGTACTGGGCCACCGTGTGTGGTCCCGGTACCATGTGATCGCTTTAGCCAATCAGCAATCACATTGACTGTAATAAACAATATGCCATTTCCTGGCACAGCTAGGCTGTGAAAAAACTCTCACACATAGCATTGTCACACTCAGAAGGAGTAGCAAAATATGTTTTCGGGTGCATTTCTAACTATGCCTATGATGTTTTTTAGAAATATCCAATAATTGACAACGTTTTGTAAAAAATACATTTATATTTTCTTCTCTGCATTTTCCAAAAACTGGTGGTAAAAAAAATGACTTTTTCATAAGGCTTACTATGCCTTTCAGAAAATAACTTGTAATGTATGCTTTCCAGAATGAGGTCATTTTGTGGGTGTTTCCATTGTCCTGGCACTCCAGGGCTTCCAAAAATGGGATAGGTAGTAAGGAAACTAGATGTGTAATTAATACCCCTAGAAATCCTACGGGTGCTCCTTGGAGTTTGGGCCCCTCTATGCATCTAGGTTGTGAAAAAGTCTCACATATGTAGTATCCACATGCTCAAGAGGCATAGCAGGATGTGTTTTAGGGTGTAATTATAAGTGTGCCAATCAGACAACTCATGGGGCCCCCGGGCAATAGGGGATCATGGGGCCCCTGTGTCGTCGCCCACACCCAAAAAAGCCTATGAAAAGGTACCAGGGACATCTCAAGGGGCCCCCTACTGACCCTTGG